CTTGTTCCTTTTTTAGAATACTTCTAATGGGTGCTGTAATTTTTGGATTCCATAGTGGATTTAATGTAAATTAGTTTCATATTTATATTTTTATATAGAGATAATCCTATATATATTAATCCTGTTATGGTCTATATTCATCACCTTCTGGTATAATAAAGTGAGCATTAAAATCAACAAGTCCATCAATTATGAATGAGCACCATTATTACTTTTCAAAACGTCATCAGTCATACTGGTCAATTTTACAGCCACATCATAAATCAGCCTCTCATTTCAGAATGTTCACTTTGTCTGGTTTTGTTGCAGTCTGCCCCATATAATGTATGCATACTGTGTTCTATTTGTCTTCACAAGTTTTTCAACTTTCTCTGTATTTGAATGAATCACTGTTGAAAATTTTATCCAACCACTTCAAAAATTAATAACACTATCACAAAAGAAGTCTTAACAATTAGCTGTATTAGTATGGCACACTGCCAAAAACTCTTACGTATTATAAAAGGCATAACTCATCGTCGTGAGTTGAAACTCTTCAAGTCTACCTCCATGGGGATATTCCGGTGGCTATCAACTAGCTTTAAAAGAATCAGTAAGTTGCGGTATTACAAGAAGAAATCAAAACCCGAAGGTCAGCATAATCTGTAATCCACTACCCATACTATACGTACCTTTCAAGTCAACAAATTCTGGGGCAAAAGTTTCGTTTTTGATCGGCCGTTGCGTTTTTGATAGATGCCAGTAAAGTCACGTTTTCACCGATAACCTGAGGTTTATCCGTTGCGGTATTAGCTAATTATGACTATATTCTAATATCAGACGTATAACCATAGTTCATCTTTGATATTCCCAAGTATCCGAGCGTCATTAACACTTTTTTCTGCGAGCTTCCTCAATCTGCTCAGCAGACCAACAACCTATTCGACAAAATTTCAACTGAGGCAACAATGATGGTTTAGTCAAACTCTTTTATGATTTATGAAAGGGTAATGCAACTAATTTGAATCCAGTGCAAGTGAATAAAAGCTATTGTAACATTGTCTTGATATTTTAATAAATTTGCGATGATCACCGTTTGTAAAACGAAAACAAGTCTGACAACAGGTCTTAATCGTTCAGTACACTTTGTTACAGGTGTATTTTCAACAACGTTTATCAGGATTGGGTTTTTTTCGTTTTCTTTTGTCATAATTTTTTAAAAAACAGGTTGCTTCTTTTCACTCTCGTTTAACGAGTAGGGAGAGGGTAAGAAGCCAAACCGCCACAACTCGAACGGTCTCACCGTCATAAGTTGGTTTCTTTAAGGTCTAACCAACGCCAAAAGACCACTAAAACTAGTAAAAATGGCTAATTATTTGTCTCGTTTAAAGAAAAAACCGTTTCCAGATTATGTTAAGAAAAGAGTGAAAGAAGAGATTAGAAAAATCCAAGGAAGTTTTTTCTGGCAGTCAAACGAGAGAACTAAAGAAAGTGGATTACAACCAAAGGATGCTAATTTTGCTAAATGATTAAGAGATATTAAAGATAAAAGTGCTGAATGGTTTTCAGATGA